TCATCCAGGAACGCATCTCCGGCGTAAGTCGAGGGTTACCTGTGTATCCACGCTGAAGAGTTATGCATAGAATACTTTTAAAAGTGGACGCTGTATTTTAAGAAAGCTGATTTCAAAATGTCTAATTTTTATTTACAGGAACATGAAGTGTTAATTGCACAATCAAATCAGATATTGACTGCTATTATTCACGGAATGCGTCAGAATGAGCCGAGCAACCACGTTCGGTTAGCTGCGACAACCGCCCTCCTCAATTCCCTTGAATTTACTAGAGCAAATTTTGATAAAGAGGTATGTTTGCTTGTACGACAGTTTCAACATTAATTGTATTCTGGTTTGCTTTTTATTTTGTTCCTTTCATGAAGTGCATAAAATTAATTTTAATTTGTGCATGTTTCATCTGAAAGATTTCAGTGAAGTGTTATTTGGAAGTATACATTAAAAGCTAACTGAATGATTTAGTTTTTGGTCATATTAACTCTACTAAAGCTGATATTAGACTTTGCTGATTTAATCAAATTGCTTATAATTTGGTGTATGGCAAAATGCAAGGTTGATGCACGAAATAGTCCCCAAACATTCAAACAAACATCAAGCCTTGGAGATGGCCCATGGCTTTATATGGCAGCCCACATTGTAATCTCAGCGGCAGTTTCTTGTTAAACACATGCAGATTTTCCATAGCCCAGAAGTAAAACTTTGGGACTGTTCTGTCCAGGTAGAAATATGCCTCATTCAAAAGACATTTTATGCAGTATGGCTCTTTCATACAGCAAGCCCTAGTCTCTGTCGATCATTTGCGCCAAATTTTGTACATTACGCTTCTTTTGTGTAGGTACGTGATCATATTTAATTGTGGGATTCATTAGAGAGATCATCTCATATTGCTAATTCTGCAACTGCTTGTTTTGTTGATGAAGATGTTTTTGCTTCATAACCAAACTATTTTATCGGGACTGTCGAGAAAGTGCCTGCCGCATCCGAAAATGAGCACTTAAGGTACCATTTGGCTGCACGCGACAGAGACAAGCGACCGAGGCAGGCGAAAGAGACGGGAGACAGACACATCGCAACTTGTAGCCACAACCTTTTGAGGTGACGAGCGAGACATGCGGCACGCCAAAATGACAAAGTGTTTGTTTTCTTTGTTTTGTTGAGACATA